TTACCTCAGTCATACACGACCTGAACTGAGCTACGCCATACACATTTTAACTCAGTTTATGCAGGTTCCAAAAGAAGCTCATTGGGACGCAGCTCTTCGCGTGGTTCGTTTTCTCAAAGGGTCAATTGGACAGGGCATTCTTCTCAAGTCTGACCCGGATCTCTCTCTCACCATTTACTGCGATGCTGACTGGTCTGCCTGTCCCCTTACTCGTCGCTCTCTCAGTGCTTTTGTTGTATTGCTTGGAGGATCACCTATTGCTTGGAAGACAAAGAAACAAGACACTGTTTCACACTCCTCAGCTGAAGCTGAATACAGAGCCATGTCCGATGCACTTAAAGAAATCAAATGGCTCCGACGTCTTCTTGAAGGGTTGGGTATCAAACAACCTGCGCCATCTCGCTTCTTTTGTGACAGTAAAGCAGCCATCCACATTGCAGCGAATCCGGTGTTCCACGAACGCACTAAACATGTGGAAAATGACTGTCACGCAGTCCGCGATGCTGTCACTGCTAAACTCATTGAGACTATACACATTACAACTCACTCTCAAGTCGCTGATCTCCTGACAAAGGCGCTTGGTCGTGCAAAATTCCAAGATTTATCATTCAAGTTGGGTCTTACGAATCTCCACACTCCAACTTGAGGGGGAGTATTAGGAAGATAAGGATGACTTCCTTATAGATAATGATAGAGTTATGTTTATCTCCTACTTTATAGTAACTTAGGAGCTATCGTTGGTATGTTCTCTCTTGTATAAATATGCTCCTCATTGATCATTAATAAGACAAGTTGTTCTTGGTATCCAATTCTACAATATAAGAGAAGAGAGTGGAAGAGAACGAAGGAGGGAGAGAGAGAGCGGTTTTTTTATCTCTGTATACCAATGAGTTTACAAATAAACTGTACAGGCTAGCTTTGAATTTATATAAAAGGAAATCCATTTTTCCAACAAGGTAACTTTTTATTTAATTACTTAAACATTTCTTCCAACTTGAATTTATTTATTAACCATTTGACTGGTGGTGCTCGTTCGGAAAGAGAGAGAGATTCATGGTAAAATAATGCCGGTGGAATAACAAAATATCTTAGAAACACAAGTCCAAAAGGAAAACATGATATTTAATTTGGAAATGATGATCACACAGCTTAGTCAATTATTCTTGCAGAGTTCATGTAAGATGAGGACTGCCACTTCTTTGACAGCAAGGTGATTGCCTTCAAAAGAGTTTTACCGCTATTTCTATTGTATTATAAAATGTAATGTACTATTATTATTTGAACTTAAAATAAGAATTTGGTATATTGCTTGAAAGAGTATTATTAAAATTAGATGATAAATAGGAGCAAGACGTAAAACGCTATATTTTCTATGTTTAAAAAGTTATACTTCCTCCGTTCCTTAAAGATATATATTATAGAAAACAAAATTTGTTTCTAAAAAATCCACTCTTTACATTTTCAATGTATATTTTATTAAATAATTGTAAATTTCAACACAACTAATTGCACTAATTGATTTTTGATTGGTTTAAAACTATGGAAAGAAGATAAATACAAAAAACTATGCAAATTTATTGTGTTTTATTAAAAAGTGTGAAAAACTAGAATACGAATCTTTTAGGAACAGAGGGAGTATATTTTAGAAAAATATATATTTAATTTACTAACTTTATGATTGTACTTAACTATTTGGAATTTGTATTTATTTTAATAAATTTTGGGGTTTTACATTTTATTTAAGTTTTAAATTTAAAACTAAATGTAGAAATAAAGTATAAAACATTAATTTCAAATTAAAATGAATATTGAAATATCAAGTTTCTGATATAAAGAATAAAAATTAGAGAAAACAATTTATAAAAAAACGTTTCAGCGTATCGTAGGCGTGTGTGACTCTTGTGTAGGCGCAAGTGGAATAAAAGACAAGAACACGCGCATTAGGACAACAACGAGGTGACTGGATGACGACGAGTTACAACAAGTGGTAAGCCGTGAAAGTGTGAATGGCTCAGGTTAAGCAGCTTAATTACATATTTTTATTTATTTTGTCGACTTCAATTTTAACCTTACAGTTTGATTCTTTACTGCTTACTTTAGTTTGGGCTTGAAAATGTTATTAGTATAAGCAAATGAAAAAGAGATGACTCATTAGTAGAATGGGTCGTTTATGTCAACTCCAAAAATTAAATTGATTCTGATTTTTTGGGTAGGCAAACCATATCTTGGTTACCGAGATAACTTAATCTATTAATGCAACACATCAGCTCTGGGATGGTGGGATATCCATATTCTTATGTTTAAAATCATAATCATAGCTCTGGAATCTGTTTATCTAATTCTGGAAAGAAAACTAACCAAAAAATGAGTTTCACAACCATAAGTAGAAAACAAGAGAGCGGTACTGAAGCATGAGAAATGAGATATTGCGAACTCGATGAATGCCAATCTCTTGTTGACCTAATTAATTTACTTTAGTATCTATTTCCAGGGGTGATTCTGAACATAGCGAAATTAAATATTGGTTTAGGATCGAACAAAATTTTAAAAACAAATTACATGAAAAAAACCTCTAATTTTTTTTTTAAAAAATTAACTAAATTGTTTAGTGTCTCCAACATCTCGAGACGTCCCTATTTATTCTCAAGAAAATTATAAACGTAGAAGCGTCAACAAAAAAAAATACAACAATAATCAAAGAAAACATAGGAATACGTATGAAAATTTCTTTTGCTACGATTATATTTTCGCTCACTTAGCATGATGAGCAAAAATAGTTGATTTGACGTTGAGTTATAACGTGCGTGATAATATTCGAAGATAATATATCTCAATCAGAAAGAACAGGAACACATGATGATGATGTAGATCTACTGTCTGTTCATTGGACTTATCTTCTGAAACAATAACTCAAGAGCATGTGCGGCATTTGATCTCCCTTCGTTGATTCTCCGCTTCCATCGACATACATCTCCATCCACACATGGTTTTTTGTTTTTTTTCTTAAGTACATATCCGATACAAAAAGAGCGAAAGATCATGTTCTTATAACATTTTGCATACAGAGATACGTTAATCATTGATTCAATGTACAACTTGTTGTCTCTCTGTTTACAACTCGTTATCAACCTAGTGTGCGTCCAAATTTTGTCTTCTATTGATGATTTACGATAACAGATGTCGATGTTATTATATATGTGTCTATCTATGGTATACAAAGGTGGGTAGATAAGATCTGGAGAGACGGTTAGCTTACTCAAGTGGTTAATCTAATGAAAGTGAAATGGTGTAAGAATAACGTTGGACGCATCAACCATCATCTTTGATAAATATGCCACCGGTGTACATATGATTCATCCATGTGTTGTAGTTTTAGTTGTTTTGATATTTATTTATCTTTTCATTTTATAGTTGAGTGTAGATATGTCATATGTGTTGTTGACCCATCCGTCAAGTCTCTTGACTCTTTAAGATTACATCCAGATTTATAAGATTATTCGGAGCTTGGTTGGTGTTAAACTACACCAATGAGATGTTTGCATCAAGATCTATCGACCCAACCTATATTCGGCTCGAATGAAACTCGAAACTACCAGTAGCTTAATGTCAAAAATTCCAAATGCCTCCAGAAAGCCCATACTGGTAGATCCATTGGACTTGTGATGTTAGCGACATTTAATTGCTTCATTGTGTTTCCATTTTCCTCAATCCCTTAAAATTCTCTTTGATAATTATCACTTGGTGCATGTTGTTCTTTACTTCGTTAGCTAAGTGCTTTCATGTTTGGTCTAAATCTAATGCTTAATCTAGTTCTTTAATCGAAAATAAAAACTACTATCAAACTGAATAACTTTAGCCTAATTCCATTGTGCATCCAGCTAGTTTCCAGAGGTTCCAAACTCTAAATCAGTACAATAACACCATTAACCAGTGTAATCAAATTTCCAAAGAAATTATAGTTGACAACTCAAGATTCTATAAAACCTTGTAAAGACATTTATTTGATAGCCTTAATATTTAGTTTGGAACCTTATAGTTGTCCTCCAAAACAAAAGCATTACCACATAAACATAACCATCTCTGAATTTCTTTTCATTTATAGAATCAAGTTTTTTTCCATATTTTATAACCAAACAGAAAAAGAGGAAGATAAATTTATCAAATAAAAGAACCTTTAAAACCTCATAAGATACTCTTGTGATTTATGTGTTTATAAATTATATTTAACAACATAATTAAACTATACTAGATTTTTAATCCACGCTTATAAAACGCGGGTACTATCATTGTTGTTTTATCTACAGATGCATCGATAAATCTTTTTATTTGATGATATAAAATATCATAGAATCAAGATCAAGTTATTATGCGGGTGTGAAGAAATTTTTATTTTATGTCTGAGACAATTTTTTATGTTTCTAAATAAGTTAACAATGGTTGTACCTGAATTGTGTACTTGAGAAATATTGTATATTTAACAATTAAATGAACCAATTTTCTTTTTCTTTTTTAGTTTTGTGATTAATTCGTAAAATCATTTACTTACAAAATTTTAATCGCTCAGTCTGACTTGTTCCATAGCGGGTTGAGTCATTTTTCGACTCAAAACTTCGACCCGTCTGACCCGCAAAAGAAAATATATTTTTACAAGAAATGTTTTATAAAATTTGAAAGAGAATCAGCTCATTATAAAACTTATTAGTATATAATTTTTAGGCCCAAATAAAAAAAAGACTAAAATATCATTAATGAAAAATTAAATTTGTTCATAAAATTAAGGGTAATTTAGAAAAATATAAATCATTCATTCATCAAAAGAAATGATTTTGTTTTAATGATATTGATTAAAAATATTAAATTAATATAGATGAAAATTAAAAAAAAACACACAAACTCTAAGTCCAAAATATATATTCTTTTGTTAGTAAATGATAAAACCCAAACCCTGTAGAGAAAAGGCCCACGCTTCTATTTCTCTTATCCTTCTCCCATCGCCGAAAATGGCGTCGGTAGCAGCATCATCGCCGATATCCTTCGCCGCTTCATTCCTCAGAACCAAACCCTTCCCTCTCTCCCCTCGCTTCCTCCCCATCCCCACCCTCCGCTGCGCCCTCTCCTCCTCCTCCTCCGACCCCATCGAATTCGACATCACATTCGCTCCTCCAAAACCCGCACCTTCCTCCCCTCGCAACAACGGCTCCGCCTTCCAACAGCTCTTCATCCCATGGATCGTCCGCGGCGAAGACGGCAAACTCAAAGTCCAAGATCAACCTCCCGCTCACTTAATCCACGCTTTAGCGGACGCCACCACACAGAACCCTAAGAAGAAGGTCAAGAAGAAGAAGCCACAAGCTGCTTCTTCCTCGGCGACCGTTGCCACGTCGGAGCCGAAGCTCTCGAAGGCGGCGAGAAGGTATTACAATGAGAATATCAAAGAGCCTCCTCAGCGTTTGAGCAAGGTTCTCGCTGCTGCTGGAGGTACTAAACCAAACCCAAACCAATTTAAATTGAATCGTACCGGTTATGATTTGGTTATCAATGGTTTAAATGTTAGTTACAACCGGTTTAATCCTATACTCCCTCCGTTTCAAATTATATGTCATTCTAGAGTAAAATTTCCGTTTCAAAATAAGTGTCGTTTTATAATTTCAATGCAAAATTTATTGATTTTAAATGTTATTCTATTTTTTCATTGGTTGAAAAGTGGTTAGCTGTATAGGTAATTGTGTTTTTATTTTGAAAATATGTAAAATTAATTGTTTTCTTAATCTGTGTGCAAAATTCTAGAATGACAATTAAATTGAAACGGAGGGAGTATGTCAATGCTCTCTTTATAACTAACTTTTAAACCATTGATAATTGGATTATCAATGGTTTAAAAGTTAGTTACAACCGGTTATTTTAGTCCTGTATGTAAATGCTCTCTTTATAACTAACTTTTAAACCATTGATAACCAACCGGTATGATTCATCTAACTCTCCTCAATTTATCTCCATTTGTGTGTTTCTTACAAAAAAATTGATTCTTTTGTTTTAGTGGCGTCGAGAAGAACCTCTGAAGAGCTTATTTTTGCTGGAAAGGTTACTGTTAATGGCTCTGTTTGTAATACTCCACAGGTTAAAATAAAAAATAATCAATCCTTTTTTTTTGTGATTGAGGGAAGGTGATTATGATTAAAAAAAAGTTAGTATTTTTTGTTTTATGTTGTAGACTCGTGTTGATCCAACGAGGGATATTATTTATGTTAATGGGAATCGTGTTCCTAAGAAGCTTCCT